TGATGCGCATCTTAAAAACTGTGTATCTCATTTTATATATCTAAAAAATATATCTATATATATTGTATATCTTAAAAAAATAATAAAAACGTTTTACATTTATATTTATTAATATCGATTTATATGTTACATGTTTAAAAACAATTTGTAGTTTGTTTTTTAAAGTTTGTAAACATCTGATACAAGGTATTATTTTCTTTTTTTATTAGGATATATATTTTTTTTATATATGTTTGTTTTAGAACTACAAAGTATTGACTAGTAACCAATCACAGATTGGCGGTAAAGATATACAAACATAAATATCATAAACTTAAAGTTGGAAATATATGAAGTAAATAAAAATATACTTGCAAACAACTCCAAAACATGATTAAAATAAATTCCAATTACAACAATATAATAACGTGAACCTAAAAATAATCCGAGAAATATATCTATTTATTCATCCAATTAAAATAAAAAATACAATAAATAAAGATAAACCTGATGATTTTTCGGAGGAGTGTTTAGATAAGTTACACTATAAGTTTGTTTACCACATTTCAAAATAATGTTTGTGAACAAATATCATAAAAACAAAATTTGTGTAAGATTAATAAAAAGAATTACTTGTTAGTAGTTATAGGAAGCTCGCAGAAGACTTAAATCAGTCTTGTCATTGAGTACCTTTTTCTAGACGTGTAAAACACATAAAAAATCAGTTGCATACGTGGGATATATGTATGTGTTACATATATACCTTGTTATTAATATTATAATTTATTTTGTTTTGTTTTTTTATCAGTTTTTTTTTTTATCGATTTGTAGTAAAAGTTAAGTTACATTTATTTTGTTTTTAATTTAGTTTTAAAAAATTCCTTATAGTTGTTTAATTTGATTATTGAAGATTTTACCTTTATTTTTAGAGAGTGTTCGCTGTTTAAGTTTAACAGTGATTCATTTCTGGAAACTAATTTGTTAAATAAATAGGGACCACGATATGTAAATGAGAATTTTGAGAGTCTTGTTGTTTGAAACAGTATCTTAAAGTTGCCTGTTGCTCTTGTATTGTATTTATTTATAATGTTTTTAAAAAAGTGTGCTGTAAAATGTTCTGGAACCAGACTTAGTTTATATTTAAACATGAAAAGTATATTTTGAAAATTATTTATTGGAAATATATTTAGTGCGTTTATTTGTTCTAGTAACGGTTGGGAAGGAGTAAATTTGTTTATATTGTATACTAGTCTTGAAGCGTGTTTTTGACGTAAGTAAAGTGGTTCTAGTTTAGATTTATGGGTGCTGCCCCATGCTATATTGGCATAGATGAGATAGTTATGTATGAATGAAAAGTAGACAAGTTTTAGACTTTTTTGTGACAGAAATGGTCTTGCCTTGTTAAGTAAACCTATGTTCTTTGATATTTTTGTGTTTATGTAGTTTATGTGGGGCTTCCAGGAGATGTGTTCATCAAACAGAACTCCTAAAAACCTTGTATTCAGAGCTCTTTTGATGGTTTTATTTTCTATTCTAATTGTTGATAGATTTGGGAATATTTTTTTAATTTGTTGATTAGAGTGGAATAGTATATACTTAGTTTTTTAAACCATATATTAATTTTTTTTAGTTCAGCATTTGTTTTTTCAAAGAGGTCTTCAATTGTCTTTGATGAGTGAAATAAGTTTGTATTATCGGCAAACATTATATTTTTTAAGATATTGAAGGCATTTTGAAGATCGTTTATATAAACAAGAAACAAAAGAGGAGCAAGAATGGAACCTTGGGGTACACCACACTTTGTTTTTAGTAAATTTGAGTTGCTTTTTCTATCTATAATAACACACTATTGTCTGCTATTAAAGTAGTTTTTAAATCAATTTAAAGCTTGATTTTTTATACCATAGTTTTCCATTTTTGTCAGTAATAATAAACTATATAATGTATAATAATCTATATAATGTATAATAATGTATAATAATCTTATACAAGGTATCAGACTATTAAAAACTCTGATGTTTGGATTAAGGTTATTTAAGTAAAGCCATGATTCGAGCAAATATTGTGAATTTCAAAGATCCACAGATGTAATGAATTGCAAAATTAGTGCTGCAACGTTGTGTGGCAATTGTATGGCATTTTATTAAAAAAATTTGTGCTGATAAATATTAAAAAGAATGTGCAAGAAATAAATATTTTGTTATCCAGTTAAGCCAAGTTTATATACTGTTTTGAGTTTAATTTATTATATAAGATTTAGTCAAGCTTAAGGTTAGCTTAATAAACAACAATATATCTAAATCTAGGCTGTTCAACAAGCTATGCAAGTTACTGTATGTGTATTCATGAAATAGAACTTACAATATGAACGAAAACAGAACATTTATGGGTAATTTAAATTGATAGGACAGTAGTAATTTTTTAATTTTTTTAGTTATTGGCAGGCTTTACTTGACAACTTACCTTCCTGAACCAGGGTTAAAACAAACTTCAACTACAAGCTAATTTAAATCGTTTTTTATACTAGCATGTTTTATGAAGAAATTGCGTTTTATTTTATTTACTAATTAGATAACTTATGTTTTATGATTTTTTCAAATTATTTTTGCAGATTGTTTAATGCTGAGTCTTTACCGAATTTTAAGTTAAAAAAACTATTTTTTGTAAATGCAAAGCATGTTAGTGAAGCCGCACCGAGCAGTGAACGCCTTAGAGATGAATATTAAGTTAAAAAGAGTTTAGCAGAGTAAGATAAAAGTACAAATAGACAGATGCCCAGTGGATAAGAAAGAGCCTCAAAGTAGAAAAATACTAAAAACTTATCTAAATAAAATGTAGTAAAAATTAACAAGAACAGTAAATAATAGTCGAAATAATTGTTGTGCTACTAAATTGTCGTTAGTGTCAAGCGTAATTGTGATGTATAGACAGTATCAGTGATGGATTAAAATTATTTGTTTTATAAGTAGTTACCATATAGTCTGTATTATTAGGGTGATAAACATTTTAAATAAAAGTGTGTCATTGGCGTCTCAAGTACAGTATGGATTCGCTCCTTCTGGTACAGTATGAACACATGAAGATATCTAGCTTTTATCCGAGACTAGTATCCCAAAATAAGTTCCTCTCTGGGTCTATACCAGGGTATCAAGTTAAACAAATGTAGCCGAGAATCCCAGTTTTTTTTATACAAATACATCTTTATCTTGTTTTTGACATATTTGAATCAACAATTCAATTATCTTTATAATTGTTTTGTTCTATCAAAAATATACAAATAATAACTACTAAAACTTAAAATAAGTTTGTTGATAATGAGAAATATTTTTTGTATCTAAATGCCGTCACCATCTTTAAAATTGTAATATTTGTATTTGAAACTTCGCTTGCGTATAACAACTTTCCACATCTAAACGACCGTGTAGCACTTATATTTAAACAATTAATATTTTTTCTGGGAAATCAATTTTTTCAACAAAAATTATAAATTAAAAAAAATTTTAAACTTTAAATCTTGCTTATACAAATTTTTTATTGAGAACATTTTTAAGGAAAGGGATAGGTAGTGATCGACTTCTTTGCACAAGTTTGCCTTAGATTTCCTGCTTATAGGCTCGTCTTTTTCAAAAATTCAGGGTATCCATTTTTTTTTTATTAACTTTTATTTTGTTTTCAACTCTATCACATTTAATCTTCAACTCAAAATTATAATTCTCTCCAAACCCTGCTTTACAAGGAAAATAATTAAATCGGTAGTGAACTGCTTCTTTGCACAAGTTTGCCTTAGATTCCCTGCTTATAGGCTCGTCTGTTTCAAAAAATCAGGTTATCTATTTTTTTTTATTAACTTTTATTTTGTTTTCAACTCTATCACATTTAATCTTCAACTCAAAATAATAATTCTCTCCGAACCCTGCTTTACAAGGATAATAACTAAATGCAATATTTAAATATCACACCTTTTAATTGTGAGTTAAGTGTATGACTTCTACTACATGACTTAAGAGAATCAAAGAAAGTGCATGGATACTATTAATTAACACTCCCATGAAAAATTTTTTAAAGATCTTCAACTTTAAAATAAAAAGGTGCAAAATATTCTAGATGTAACCATTAGAAACCATTTAGAGAACATCTTATACATCTACGCCTTACACCTACGCCAGCCTAATAGATAAAGAAGGGGTGGGAGGAGGTAAATCAATAAAATCTGTTTACTCCTTAAATCTTTGCCAAGGAGGCCTTTTACAAGACAGTATGCATTTAAAGTCGAGTATTCTTTTAGAGACACCATCTGTATTGTGTAGATCGTTTAAAATACACTGAAGTAAGTATATCATTCAAACCAGTTCTTTTACAACGGAAAAAGGTATGCAAGCTTATGGAGTTGATATTAAACATTACAACGGTACCAAATTTTGCAATCTAGAAACTAGAAAACCTCCTAATATATATTTTTGATAATTTTTTTGTCCTATTCTGCACAAAAAGATACATGACATACTTCGACAATATACGCGCGCACGATAATATTGTATTTGCCGTACAAACCGCTTTGTGAAATGAATAAAAAGTGTTTTCAAATTTGAATTAAACTCTTACTTTTTTAATTAAAGACATAATTTTTTTGAAATAGATATATTTACTGAATATAAAAGTAGACACATGGCAGTTGACCACTTGCAATATAAGCCTTTACTGTTTTAGTAAAATTTTCACATGATGACATAATTGATGTTCAATTTGAGTGATATTCTCCTTTATGTTTTAATTTAGATGTTGATTAGTTTGACGACTATTAGCGTAAACTTTGCTTTTAAAAAACAAATAAAAAATAGCTCCTGCATATTTTTTACTAAAACTTAAAATAAATTTTAACAATAAAGAAGCAGTTCTCTATTGTAAATTTCTACATATTTAAAAACCACATTGTTCATACTTGACAGATGTCAATCTGCCGACAGAAACTATTTTAATACAAAAACAACAAATGGCGCAAATTTAATCCATATTTGCATACCCTGTATTTCTGTCACGAAATATTATTAACATTTAAAAAAATCAAAATAATGAACTATATCAGGAAATAAACGCCACATTGGTTTATAATTTCTTTTCCAGTCACTTTCAAGGGAAAGTTGACTGCAACGGGTAAGTTTTTTTTTAAATATAAGTTTCGAAAAATTTCAGTATTTTTATGAAATGTTACTTTTTATTCAAAATCAGAATTATTTTGTTTTGAATACAAGTTAAGTTTTAATTAACACCAAGAATTTAAAAACTGTATTATTAAATATTTTCTTATTTTAAACACGACAACAACGCTAAATACACTTTTGCTTTTTCTGTACATTGATTATGAATTGACATTGAAAAAGTTATTACTTGTACTTATATGCATAGTGGTGATATGTGATACTAAAGTTTTTGTTTAATAAAATACTAGAATATTATATCATTATATATCATTAGACTTATTATATCATTATATATCATTAGACTTATTATATCATTATATATCATTAGACTTATTATATCATTATATATCATTAGACTTATTATATCATTATATATCATTAGACTTATTATATCATTATATATTATTAGACTTATTATATCATTATATATCATTAGACTTATTATATCATTATATATCATTAGACTTATTATATCATTGTATATCATTAGACTTATTATATCATTATATATCATTAGACTTGTTATATAATTATACATCATTAAACTTATTATATCATTATATATCATTAGACTTATTATATCATTATATATCATTAGACTTATTATATCATTATATATCATTAGACTTATTATATCATTGTATATCATTAGACTTATTATATCATTATATATCATTAGACTTGTTATATAATTATACATCATTAAACTTATTATATCATTATATATCATTAGACTTATTATATCATTATATATCATTAGAAAGGCCAATGTTATTGAATTACTTGAACCATTATTATTGAATTCTTTGAATAAATTTACAATAAGGAAAGAGGTTTTCAGAAACAAAATTTGACAACGCCAGTTATTTCAAGTTCTATTTTATTGTTAAAGTATTCTCCTTTTTTTCTAAACTATTCCTCAGTTTCTTATAAATGCTATTTTTACAAAGTTGCTTATCATAAATTTTTATTTTTATTTTTTAATATATCTACATATATGTATATGTATATATATATATGTATATATATATATATATATATATATATATATATATATATATATATATATATATATATATATATATATATATATATATATATATGTATATATATATATATATATATATATATATATATATATATATATATATATATATATATATATATATATATATATATATATATACATATCGTCGCATGAGATTTATAGGGTTCTATCTACATTTTTTTATGTTGTAAGAACTTAACTTTTGATGTTTAATTATTAAAATGTTTTAATACTGTTATTCTTTATAATTATAAATTATGAATTGTTTAAGTTATTTAGGTTTTATTATTAAACATATATTATTATTCATAATATTTATATATATATATATATATATATATATATATATATATATACATATATATATATATATATATATATATATATATATATATATATATATATATATATATATATATATATATATATATATATATATGTATATATATATATATATATATATATATATATATATATATATATATATATATATATATATATATATATATATATATAATATTATTGTTGTTATTGTTATTATTATTTTTATTATTATTACTTTTTTTATTATTATTATTTTTTTATTTATTTCTTTTTTTGTTTTTCAAAAAGCTGTCCAAGTACAGAATGGTGAGACAGGCAATTACTAAATTACCCTTATCTAACATCAACAAAAAAAAGTAGTAATAGTAGAGAGTGCCGGTACGTAAATAATAAAAAAATTTCGTTGGTTGTTTTAATATCCAAATTATTGTTTAGACTGATTCTTTTTGATACCAGTTGGGTCAGGTCGTTAACCTTACAAGTTTCTATGAACAAGTTGTGACAAGAATTGCATAGAAAAATAAAGCTAAACGCTTTTAAAAAAAGTTTTAAAATGCTATTTAATAAATTATCCTACAATAATAAATAAAACTTTTATTTATTTCAAAATAACTTTTTTTTTCAATGATGAATGTAATTTTTTTTTAACAATTTGTATTCTTAATTTTATAAACAACAACGACAGCGAATGCGTTTCAATAAACTTTTTTAAAAAATACTTTTTATATCTCTCTCCCTTTATATATATATATATATATATATATATATATATATATATATATATATATATATATATATATATATATATATATATATATATATATATATATATATATATATATATATATATATATATATATATATATATTTATATATATTACACTATATTGTGTTGTGCAAAAAATATTTTTTTTAACATTTTTTAAAATTATTAAAACTTTTATAAAAGTCTTTTTTGTTGAAGTTAAATTTTTTTTTTAAGTTTAATGAAAGCATTTTTTTTAAATGCTTTGTAAAGTATTATTTGTATCATGAGTTTAGTGTTTCATGCAACATAATTAAAGTTAGTTTTTTCATTAAAATGATAGTTAGATACAATTTTTTAAAATTTAAAAGAGTTCTCTAATATTATAAAAACATTAGAAAAGATCAAAGTTTTGTAGTCCGTCGCATTGGACAATCGTGCAAAACCTAAATTTTTCGAATTATTAAATAAATTTTTTTTTAATGAGTTTTACTGCTGATATTATCTAAAAATATATAGGTTTGTTATTTATGTTTATTAACAGGACCGCAGCACGGATTTAAAAGACGTCGTTTTTGTAATAAATTTTCATTAAAAAAGTGCAAAAGTTATAATTTCAGTTTTTTTTTTATGTTTTTCATCAGATAAATTTTTTTTTTGATATTCATTAGATAAAATCTTTTTTTGTCAGTATGTTTAACTTCTACATCAAAAAGATTTCACTTACTTAAAGTGAAAAAAAACTTTCAAAATTTACTTTGAAAAATTGCAAAAAAGTGCAGCTTTTTGTAATTTTGAATTCGCTGTTTGTTTTCAAGACTTCCTTCTCAAGCAAATCTAACTCAATCTTTATTATGTTATGGTTATGGTAATACCTCATAAAAAATACAGGTGCATATAATCATGCATTATGATAGACTTTTAGCAACTAACACGCAACCTTTTTTTTGTTCTTAACATTCTTAATGTTTATAATTTGTATAAAATATATATAAATGCAAAAAATTAAAATATTTTTATAAATACCAATAGTTAAGTCATGTTGCTGGGTTAAAAAAAATTATTTTTTTGTTTTAAATGATTTCATACGTTTTTATTTTTATCGTAAATTTTTTGAAAAAATGTATTTTTTCATGTATTTTTTTTATACAGCCCGAAGGGTAGAAACATTTTTTATTTTCTTTTCCTACACTAATAATGGTATATGACACTCTCATCGATCTCTTCATCTTTGTCTGCCTATTCTTCCATATCGATCTTTTCTTCTTTGTCTGTCTTTTCTTCCTTATCAGTCTCTTTTTCTTGATCACTCCTTTTTCTTCAACTTGCTTATTTATTTGGTGCCTTATCTCCGCGACTTCATGAACTAGTGCCAAATCTTATTTTTTCATTGCTTTAGCAGAAGCCGCTAATAAGAGCTTAGTAGTTTTTGATAAATTAGACAAAGCTCGCCTTCCGAACGAAGCTCAAGCGATATAAACACTACCAAATGCATCAACAGTTCTCGACTTTAAAATAAATAAAAATCATGAAAAATGTCTCTTTACCAAAGGAAAACAAAAAATTTATACTAAAAAAGTAAATTTAACCAGGCAAAGCGACTTGGAAGAAGAAAAACTTGGTTAAAAAAGACGAGAGGATAAAGAAGAAGAGACCGATAAGAAAGAAGAGGCAGACGAAGAAAAGGAGATTGATAGGGTAGAACAGGTTTTCTTTAGTGGACTATTACAAGACTTAAAAAGTTTTGATTTGCCTGAGTACTTTTATCACTATTATAAATAAACTAATTTTAAATAAATTGATTTTAAATAAATTGATAAATTGTTGTTTTTATATAAATTAATAAATATTTTTTTTGTCTTGCACCATAATCTTACTCAAATTACATTTTTTTGTATAACTGGTTAAAATAGCAAATTCTTTTTTATGGAAATAAATAAAGCGATTTCAATAATACTCAAAAAATTGTTGTTAACAATTGCCAAATGCATCAAAAGAACTCGACTTTAAAATTGTTATAAAAACTAAAACACTTAATAATTTGAACTGAATTTTTTTAAGACATATTGTCATATACTCTTTTTAGTATAGGAAATATACACATGTCATATACTCTTTTTAGTATAGGAAAATAAACTAATTTTTTAACCAAGCAACATGAATTAATTATTGGTACTTATAAAAAACTTTAATTTTTTGCATTTAAACATAATTTATACAAATTTTAAACGTTGAGAATATTAGAGCAAAAAAAAGGTTTCATATTAGTTGCTAGCCCAGTAAGCACAAAGACGTTTAAAAGACGTTTTAAAGATGTCTTTAAGGAGGTCTAATAGGCGCACTTGTAGACGTCTAGATCATAAGGCTAAAAGACGTCTAAATGAAGACGTCTTTATAAAAACGCGTTTTAGACGTATGTTAGACGTTTTTATCAAGATAAATTTAAGTACATGACGTAACATTTTCGCGTAGTATGTGGTATATATTCATTGTATTTATAACATCATTTATTGTTATAATTTCGTATATACAAAATATACATAGGAACCAGCAATCAAAATAATATTGCTGTAATCACCACCAACGGTTGATGCATCAAAGATGAAAATAATAAAAAACAATAACAAATATATATCAAAACAGTATTTGAAACATTTACAACTAACCTTTAGTTATAAAAAAATTTTTCATACCTATTGGTAGCTAATTTTTGACCGCATACTTGACTTATTATATGGCTTGTGGGTGTATAAAAACTAAAAGTACTGATATTTAACTTATATATTATTCTTGCCATTTTCACTTATTATCATGCTCAGTCAACTATCTATTAAAA